GCTAATCACCTGTTAAGACCAATTAATCTCAGAATATTTTAAAATGTTGCAAGGGTAATGTATTTTAGTATGTGATATAACAAGCTATTGACAAACTGTTATTGTTTTTTAGATTAATGAGAACATTTAAAATTTTTTATTTTTTTTGACTACCTGTTATTTTAGTAAAACTGATGATGGTGGAAAACACCGAAACGTTTTTTTAAATTGATAAATGAACAATAAATAAATGACTGAAGAACCCAGGACTTGATTTTAATACAGTTTATTAATATCACGATTATCATTTATTATCACCAAAAACACGAAAAATTGCCGTATTTACTTGCCCAACAAACCCTCTTCCCCTCTTACTGTCAATTGCACTAAAAATTGTTTTTGAAGTGATAACCACAGAATATACCCCCTATTTAGGGGGGATATTTTGAGGTGATAACTTCTTACGGGAGGGTGAACCAATTTTTCTCGGTCACGGCGACCCCTACTCCGGCCTCTTCGCGCCTGAGGCTTGGGACGCACATGTGCACTGTGAACTCGACATTTTTCTCTTAGTGCGGGTGCATCTGTAGATCTGATAAGCTTTTCAAATACACATTGCGTTATTAAACTGACAGTGATTTTTATTTATCAATTATTGAGTGTGATATTATTGTGTTCGGTGCAGTTTATTTTGTAACGCTGATAACAATGAATCAACAAATTATCAAGGGAGAAGCTGCAGATACTGCAAATACTAGGTTAAGGGTGCTCATGTACTAAATGCCTGTTTGAGTTTCGCCTTCTTTAAAATTTCCAATTAAAGTGCACACACAATTATACACACTAAAGCAGTTTAAGTGCAAAAAACTGCAGATCGTCCATCAATTTGCGGAAAAATGTATTACAAATTTTTGAAAATCATCTTCAAACGACCGGGTATTTATCATTGCAAATGAGATTGCACATTGCAGTGCACTGTTAAATATTGTTTTAAGAACTAACAATCGATGTTGTGCAACAAAATTGTGCCTAAGATCCACTACAATAAAGTTTTTGAAAAACTGTTG